AAATGACTTACACAGATGAATGAAAAGTTAAAAACAACAACTACAAGAACACATCAATAAATGAATGGATGAATAACTGAAGCATAAAGAAGGGTGTGAATTAATTACTGCATGAATAAATGAATGAAAACAAGTGATGGAATAAATATATATATTTTTTCCGTTATTAATTTATGTATTCTATCTTTCATTCAGTTACTCTTTTCTGCCACTTATTAGCTATTCAAGGTTTTCCTTCTCTTCCATTCATTCTTTCTTCCATTCATTCATTTAATCTTGCATTTCTAGGCCCATTCATTTCTTCTCTCAGTCATTGTTGCTTCACTTGTTCCTTTGTACTTTCATTCATTCTTTTCTTACCAAGATGATCCATAATTATCATTCATTTACTCTATTTGGTTTTTTTCTCATCCTATTTTCAATCTCCTGCTGCTCATCCTTTCGATGACACTTTCATCCTTTGTTCCTCACATTTCTTCTGTCCATTTCTTTGTTTGTTCATTTTTTTCATTGATTCTTCCCTGCCCCCTATTCATTTGTTCTCTTTTGCCCCCTTCCTTTGGCTCTTTCATTCATCTTCGCATCACTCTGTCATTCAGGGTTTCTCCTTCCCTGGTTTCTTTCCTTTCATTCATTCTTTTCTGTTTATTCTTTCCTTCTGTCTTTCCGTCTCTCCCTTTTTCTTCCTCCTTCTGCTAAACCTTGTTCTCTCTTCCTCAGACCAGTATATCTTCCTCCCATCTCCCTGTGTCTTTCCTGTGATGCTTCTATCTACTCATCTCTCTACTGCCTTCACTCTTTCTTTACTTTTTCCATTCCAGAGTTGACATATTCCCCTTCTCAAACTCTTTTCCCATCTCTCTCCTTCTCTCCTTTCTTTCCCATCCCTCATCTATCCCAAGGCCAGGGTGGGGGCTATTTTGTTGGCTGAAGAATACAGTGGGAAGGTTGCACTCAGTCTTGGGCACAGAGGTTGGTCGTCTAGGGTGTGGCCAGCCCAGACCTGTGCTAATTGGCCATCGCTTTTTGCTATGCTCCTTACCCCAGGTCCACTTGTGCGAGGTGGAGAGTCCCCAGGACCTGCTCAACTTGGAGTTCCCCTTCAATGTGCGCAAGGGACGCCCTCTGCTGGTTGCTGTGAAAATCCTGCGTTCTGATGCCACCAAGAATGCCAGGTAGGTGCTCTAGAGGGCAGAGAGGCATGGCTGGCTCTTGTACAAATCCAGCAAGGCCCCATTGCATTAGTGGGGGGCTGGTTGTGGCAACTCACAAGTGAACAGTGCTAACAAAGGAGCTGTTGTAGCCCTATCAGGATCCTGAATAGTTGTGAACTCACGAGGGGAAAGTGATGACCCTACCTACCAGGATCCTGAACTCTGCTGTGAACTCATGAGGGAGCCATGGTGACCGTACTGGGATCCTGAGAGTTGAAACTGCCCAAAGAATGCCATGGTGAACTCACGGGGAATATTGGTCTCCACACAAATGTCCCTGCCCTGTTGCATGGGGAAGTGCTTATTCCAACTCAGGCTCTCCAGTTACCAAAAACTCAGTACCATTCAGTTTTTTGAGAGACAAGACTACAACCCTCCTATGATCAGGACTTCTTTGCAAGTTTAGGCGTAGGATTCAGGGACAGTTACAGTTCCCTTACTCATTACCCTTTTTCTGCACCAAATCAAGATACAGTCACATTCTCCAGTGATCATTCATTTCCTCTTAGCCACTGAGGCATCACTACCAGACAAGACAGATAAAGAGGCAAGAGAAAGGTCTAGAACCCAACATTTTATTGATGACTTCCCAAAGCATAAGAATAAGCACTTGTCTCTGTGCCTGTCTAGCACCCTACAACAGCACAATGCAGATTCTCAACTACAGGAGCGGAGGAGATGCAAGAAGGAGAAGGCAGCTGGCATGCAATCTGGCTGCAGGTTGCCTTGAATTTGCTGAAGTCTTCCTAAAGATTCCTCCTGTCTATACCCATTATTTACCATATTTACTCAATTCTAAGACAATGTCCCCCGCCACATATAACATAGGAGGAAAGCCCCTCATCTTAGAATTGAATAGGAGCATTGGGGGGGGGGGGCAGGCAGCTGCTATGGGTTGGTCTCCAACCCCTAACTGGGGTCAGGGACATAGCCACAGCTGCTGCCTACCTCTCCACCCTCAGCTCATGCAGCCTCTCTTCCCTTGGTACCCTTGTTCCACACTGGCAGACTCCATCCACACTGCAGCCTGGGGAACTAAGCATGGCCCCAGCTTGGCCCCATAGCAGTGGTGCACAGTGTGCACAGCTGCTACAAGTGGGGCTGGGGCCATGCTCAGTGATCCAGCCTACTAGAACAGGGATGGAGCATGCCAGTGCAAAGCAAGAATGGGCGGGGGGGAGGAGAGGGGAGAGGGAAGAATCAGAGAAGCTAGGGGAGGGGGAAGGGGGTGGTCCAGACCATGGAGGGGGCAGGCAGGGGGACAGAGGTGGCAGGAGGTCAGGAATAAACAGGGGGCAAGCTACTTGACCTTCCCATACCACCTGCCTCCCCAGTGCCTGCCCTGCCTGCAGTAGTGGTGGAGGAATAAATTAAAGATGACCTCTCCAGTAATTAGATTCCATACATGGAAAATTATAACAAATGTATACATTTCCCATGTATAGAATCTAATTATTGTGGGGTCATCTTACATTTGGGGTCATCTTAGATTTGAGTAAATACAGGATGCATGGATTATTTAGGTAACTATTCTGGTTGGTATTATTCAGATTTCTTGTTTCACTGAGACTTTGGAAACTGGACTGAACCAGTTTTCCTGTGAGCCTGGACAATACCAATTAGGTGGGGATCACGTTCTTAAGAAAAGCACCATTCTGGGAAGCTGCTGTTTGCAATTGAACTGCAAGCTTATTGATTAGGGATTATATATCAGCCTAAGCACATCATTCATCATTTAGGCTTCTGTTATGTCCATTTTCTGCAGTCATCAGAGTGGTTTGTCACTCACTGGTCATGTCTATAGCCTACGCTCCACTGTGAAGGCACGAGAATGATGTGCTTCTGTGGACACAGATAATGTTATGGAACTAGGAGAGTGCAGCCAGTGACCTTCCCTCACACAAGCGGGCATGGTGATTTCATGAGAGCACAAGCTCAGGGAGGTACTGATGATGCACAACCATCCCTGTGTGTCCAGGGGCTAGCCACATCTGGATACATGCAACAAGTTCATGCAGCAACTGGGAATCTTCCTGCACCGGGCAAGAGTCCTCACAGCCCTGGGTTGTTCCTTTGTGAGTGCACATGTCGGGTGCTTGTGGTTTGGTCTGTAGTGAGGGACTTCCTTGTGTAGTCACTAGTGTGAGTAGAAGAGGGAGAGATCCAGGCATCCCAACTGTCCCTTAAGTGAGTTCATGATGGTGTCTCTGGTGAAGTCACAAGAGGATTCATCACACAGTGATGACTCTTCCTCTTGTGTGTGCTAGAGGATTACTTGTATTTTCATAATGATTCCCTCATGTATTTACCGATAGAGCTTCTTGTGTGGTCATAGTTGTTCATTTGTGAGTTCACAGAGTCATCGTTCTCATATTGAAGCAAGCAAGGGAGACTCTTGTGTGGTCATAAATGTTCCTGGGGCTTTCACGTTGGTGTTTCTTGTACAGTCACAACTGAACACATAACGGGTTTCTTCAGAGAGAGAAACTCATCTATGTTATCATCTTACAGATAACATTCCCGTGGATATAAGACACACCTAGATTTTCCAAGGCAGGGCAAAGATGAAAATGTTTTTCCAGAGCTTTGGCTGCAGAGAGTAGGGACTGAGCCTTATCTTCAGTGGCCTCACCCTCCCTTCCTGCTTAACCACAAACTGAAAGCCTAGCTGCTGCTGAGAATTTGTCTCCATGATTTTGAAAAGAGATAAAGAGTTGTGGAATAGAAAGAAAGCCCAAGAGGAGCTTGCAGACTGCCAAATTGCTATAAGAAAGTTTAGCTTGCTTAGTATCACATTCAGACCATTAAAAAGGCAAGACAGTCCAGTTGTTAATGCCTCTGGAGTGAAGAACAATGGGCCATTAAGTCAATGGACTCCCTCAACTGCCTGAATGGTATTATCAGAGTTAGCCATGGTAGGGCAAGAATCCAAAGCAAGGGGCTTCTATCCCAGAAAATCAGCTTCCCTGCTTAATACATACACCCCATATTTGAGGTGTTGGGGGGTTGCAGATTTTGGAGGGAAATGTGCATGTTGTTTGTGAGAAATTATTGTATTTGCACAAGAAAGAGTTGTCCTGGTACAGTCATTCCTGTTCACTTGTAAATTCACAGCAGTGTTCCTGGTGCACACTCACAGTTCTTCCATTGGAGTGTACAAGGGGATTGCTCATGGGGTCACAATGGTTCCTCCATGAACTCACCAAGAGAGCTCATTGTGGAGTCAGAGCTGCTCATTTATGAGTTCTCAAAAGCCATCCATGAGCACTCACAGTTCTTCCAGTTGCATGGGTAAGAGTGATCCTGATATGGTCATCACTATTCTCTCATGAGTTCATGGCATCGTTTCCTTGTGAGATCATGAGTAGGGATTCAGGCATTTGCAGTTCTTCCATTTGAGTGCACAAGGGAGGTTCCTCAGGTGGTCACACCGGTTCCCCCGTGAACTTATCAGTGGAGCTTGTTGTGCAGTCACAGTTGCTCATTTGTCAGTTCACAAGGGCCATGGGCAACTGGTGCTACCTTAGTTGGGGGGGGGTGTGCCCCCCACAGTGATCAATCAGCAACTGGGGATGTGGGGGGAGTCCCCCCCACAGCCAATCTCACCAACTGGGGGGAAGAGTGAGTCCCCCCATGGCCAAACTTACCAACCAGTGAGCAGCCACACTGCTCATGAAAGTGGCCATGGCATTCCCAGAAGTGGCCATGGTGCTTCCAGCAGCAGCCACAGCTGCTCCCCATCTGGCACTCACACTCCCCAGCCAGCGCTCGCAAGGGGAGCACCTGCGTTCCCACCTGCTCTCCCTGCCCATTGCCTAAGCAGGGAGAATGGAGAGTCAGGGGGTGCACCAACGCTCTCAGGGGGTACAGGTGCACCCCCGTACACCCCCTACACAACGCCACTGATGAGGGCTGATCTTAAGCATTCACTGTCCTACTTGTGTGGGCAAGAGGGATCCTGATGTGATCACATTCCCTCGTGAGTTCATTCAGGGCAGATGCTGGATGCTCTGTCATGAGTGCATGGGAGCAGTTCCCTCATAAGTGGACTAGTGGCATTCACAGGCCCTGGCTCCCACCCTCCTCCACCCCAGGAATGATTTCCTAAAAGAGGTGAAGATCATGTCACGGCTGAAGGACCCCAACATCGTGCGGCTGCTGGGCGTGTGTGTGCGGGACGACCCCCTCTGCATGATCACTGAGTACATGGAGAACGGTGACCTCAACCAGTTCCTCAGCGCCCACGAGCTGGAGGCCAAGACAGGGAGCAGTGCCAGCGATGCCCCCACTATCAGGTATTGCTGGGAGCAGGAGCAGGGACCCAGGAGTCCTGGCACAGCTAGATTCCTCTACTTAGGTGTTCCAGGGCATTGTGGGAACATACCTAACCACCTCCTGCCCTTTCTTGGCTCAGCTGCCCCACTGCACTGTGGTAATATCCCTAACCCGTTCCCTTCTCTCCTGTGTTCTGCAGCCTCAGGAGATTGTGGGAATATCCTTAACCCCCTCTCACCACTTTGCGTACCCTGTTGCCCCAGTGCACTGTGGGAATATCCTCAAACTCCTCCTGCCCTCTCCTATATCCAGCTGCCCCAAGGTACTGTGGGGACATCATTCACCTCCTCCTCCCCAGTTCTCTGCTCAGCTTCCCCAGTGCACTGTGGAGATATCCCTAACCCATCCCATCCCCACCTGTATCCAAAAGCCCTAGTGCATTGTGGGAATATCCTCCAACCTCTGCCCACCCCTTCTATGTCCAGCTTCTCTGGTACATTGTGGAAATATCCCTAACCTCCTCCTGCCCTCTCCTCTGCTTGACTGCTCCAGGGCATTGTGGGAACATCCCTAACCCCTCCTGTGTCCTGTTGCACCGGAGCGTTATGGGGATTTCCTTATCTCCCTCCATCTCCTCCAATCAGCTACCCCAGTGCATTTTGGCAACATCCTTCCTCTGCTCAGATGCCCTAATGAATTGTAGGAAAATCCCTAACCTACCCCGCAACAATCCCCTCCACAACCCAGCTGCCCCATGGCATTATAGGGAATTCCCTATAACCTCCCACCCCCTTCCCCACTCAGCTGCCCTAGTGTATTATGGAAATGAGAGACATTTGAGTGCATTGTGGGGACTGGACAGACAGCTGGCTGGGTCATCTGACCTGTGCACTCTTTTCTGCCCAGGGCAGGGGGTCAGACTGCATGATCTGCTGAGGTCCCTTCTGACCCTAACATCTATGAAATCTATGAAATATTTCTAGCCTCTCCTCTCCCCAGCTGCCTCAGGGCATTGTGGGACCATCTCTAATCCCCACCCTTCCCTCCCTTGGGGTCCAGCTACCCAACACTGATCCATGTGGCAGCCCAGATTGCCTCAGGCATGAAGTTTCTGGCCTCCCTCAACTTTGTGCATCGGGACCTGGCCACACGCAACTGCCTGGTGGGTGAGGGCTTCACCATCAAGATTGCCGACTTTGGCATGAGCCGCAACCTCTACTCGGGCGACTACTACCGCATCCAGGGCCGTGCTGTCCTGCCTATCCGCTGGATGGCCTGGGAGTGCATCCTCATGGTAAGACCAGGGGGGCAGGGATTGGGGAGAAGGGTGGGGCTAAAGGAAGAAGGGGTGGAGTTTGGAAGAGGAGTGGGGCTAATGTCCAGGGGCTAGGGCAGGGGTGGGCAATTATTTTGGGCAGAGGGCCACTTACTGAGTTTCTCCAAGCCATTGAGGGCCGCATGACAGGCAGCCCAGGGCAGATTAATGTTAATTTTCTAAATTTTTTAGGGGCCCCGCAGGCCAGATAGAATGGCCTTGCAGGCCACATCTGACCCCCTGACCGCATTTTGCCCACCCCTGGGCTAGGGCATGAGAGAGGGGGATGGAGCCAGAGGATGGGGACTGGAAGGGGCTTCCTTGGATTGATAGCCTGGGAGAGAAGGGTGGAGCTAAAGAGGAAAGGATGTGTCTTGGGGAAGGGGGTAGAGCTAATATCCAGGAGGGGCAGGGACTGAGGGAGAGGGTGGAACCAGGGAATGGTGAGGGAATCCCTTGTATAAAAACCCAAGAGGGTGTGACCTGGCTGAGAGGTTGTGGAGCTAAAAGGAGGCAGTGGTTTCACCAAAAGGCACAAGAATAGCATTAAGGGAGGAGGCTGATGGAAGAAGTGGGACTAAGAGAAAGGGATGGGGCT